ATAACACACTGACTGCATGTCAAGTGATGAGGGGCTCTCTGCTCGAATTTCAACAGCATCAATAATTAGAACTGTCCTTGGATAAAGTTCCTTAAAAATGTTTGGCATGAACTGATGTAGAAGCTCTCTCCTGGGGAGGCAAATTAAAGGCTCCAGTTCAATCCTCATAAACCGAACCCAAGTGTTAAACACAACAGAAACAGTAGTTTCAGAAACATCGAATCTGTGTGCAAGATCCTTTTGAAACAAGCCAAGCCTAAGTCTCATTAAAGTCAAAACAAACTCTTCAAATAAAGTTAATGCTCTGGGCCTTCAAGCTCTTTATTACTCATTTGACGCGCCGTGATCGTGGCTAATTTTCAAAACCAGTATTTTGATCGTATATATTGCTTTTTATAACACTAAGACGAGGACTATTTCACTTAATTTCACGATGTTTCCGTAGAAATATAAAAGTGTGTTGAGTAATCAGAGTGCTCCTTTAAAATGCTCTCGGTGTTTTATTTTGAACGCTTACAATAGTATGTGAAACATCGCTCAATTCTTAGAGGAAGTCGCTAGTGTGATAGTTAGATTAGCGTCAAGCGATTTTGAATGCGCAAAATACAGGAGAAAGTGGATTTTGGGGTGATACCAATTTTTCTGAATTTTTTGTGAGTGCACGTTTAGAAATCAAGACTACACTGAGTCTTGTTTTACCCTCGACTTGACCCTTCGACTCTTAAGAATTAGTAGCATCCAAGTTTTCCCAACAGTACTCCCCCTGAATCGCACATTTAGGTCACGACAATAAAGGAAATGATCAGTAACTAAACAAGCCTCCACAAATTTTAAACAAGTTTGCCTTGTCAGCACCTTTGGAAATGTATGGAGAAACAGTATGAAGAATATGCATATTGATGTTTGGATATAAAGGGTCGAGGGAAGAGAAGAGAAATCGTAAATTTCTTGGTGTAGTACTTAGTTAGAGCTTTTCTTGTTTCTTGACCAACGAGTCGGTAGAGACATCGTTCGAGTGACTCAGTCACGGTTGTGGTTGATTTTTTTTACAAGAAAAAAAAGCTTACTCCTGCATCTTTCTTTTCTGGCTGTTTCGTATTAAGGATGGTTGGTGGTGGCTAGCTTTTGTGAAAGAAATGAAAGCTTTCTTGTCGTTTTGAATCGTACGTTTGTAAATGTTCCTCGATACCTCTCCCCTCTCCCCCTCTTACTTTTTCGTATAAATGTAAAGATCTCTTTACTTCTGCCTCGATTATCCTTAAGTTTTCTCTTGGTTTATTCCAGATTGCGGAACATTCGTTGGTCGATGTACTTTTGTTTGTTCTTTTTTTCGTCATGGCTCATTATCAAGAGGTTCCCGGCCGCACAGACTGCTTGGGCCCAGTGCTTATCAGGTGTGCACAAGCTGGCGATTGCTCTGGAACCGTTCAAGCTCTCTAATTGAGCGTCCCCACGTGTCGCTGGAATTAGTATCAAGCACTTTAAATTCAAGCGGATAATTTGCAAACCTATTCGTGAATATTTTCATGGAATACGGGCTTTGTAGGCCTCAAATCGTACATTTGTAAACTGAAAGAATAATGCTACTCGTATTGTACGTTTCCCGAGACCAAAAAAAATTGTAATGTTGATATAAATTCTGAAATTTACGCTTTAAAACTCTTTTATTTATGATTTCTTGTTAGAATAGATTAATAAAGTGGTTGATTGTATACACAGGGCTGAACGTCCTCTTTAAATTGTGAATCTACCAAAATGAATTCCATAGTAGTTCCAAGAAATTGTATGTTAAGATTCAGGATAGTTTTCGTGTGACTGCAATGGAAACGAATAATTTTGATAGAGTTGTTAAGAATTGCTCATGGCTCTGTCTGGGCTATTTCAGGAAGATAATAGTGATTTGAATTTGTAATTGTAGGTATTTGATACATGTTGATTTACATTAAACAAAACGGACGTTTTTTTGTGATTACTGAATTAAGATATGTGAACTATTTTTTGCCGTAACATGTAACAGATCGTACTTCTCACAACACGTGACCAATTTGTAGCAAATAAGTTTTGTCTTGTACACAACTCCTGTTCTAGCAGGGGTTTTGCTGTTAGTAAAGAGGAAACTCTAGTAAGTTAAGGGAGGGTTTCATGAGAAAACAACTGTTTGACATATTAACTAATCAGTTGGCATGTAAAGTTGGTTGAAAGGTCACTAAGTCTCCGAGGGTATTTAAATTACTGTCAAGAGAACAAACTGTTTGAAACACGTAATGCTGGTTCCTTGTTAACACATGCATGTAAAGAAATAATTAAGTCGGTTCGATCATTAAATAAAGCTTGAACTTCCAGGAGTAAATAAATAGTATCACTTTTAACAAATAACAGGCGTATTCTTCTTTCTTATGCTTGAAAATCGAGTACAAAAGTGGGTCAATTGTAAGCGTTTTCTCTAGTCTATGCTTCAGAAAGGTAAAAGGCCCGCGGGGACATTTGGAAAGCGTTAATACAACACAAGAATAACATCCAACTTGCCACAGAATTGCAGGGCTAGCCACACTAATATTTTCTGGATAAAGATAATGCGTATTAAACCAATTCAAACAGCTGATGATCATTAATAATAAAAAAAGATGCTCGTAGCATGTAATATGTTTTCACTTTATATTAGATGGAAAGTATAAAAATTAAACGAAGCCCGTTAGAAATTAAAATGGTGTCTACATCCAGTGCAATCGTATTTCGAAGAGTAGATAATTGTTATCGCTACTTTACGCACACCTAGGCACACTCACTCTTTGGGGGACGTGGAAAGATGATGTAGCGATCACACGTGCAATGCTTTCAGCGACATTATTCTCAGACACTGTGGTTAGTATCACTAGTTATTCTTGTCTTAATCCACAACCGGTACATTACTTACAATAGATAGCAAGAGGAGGGCGTGGCTTAAGATGCTTTGCCGTTTCATTATACCCAAGTGAGAAAAGCGTCTGCTGCACAAGGGCGTTGAGCAAAAGTGAGTTAAAAAGCGAAGAGCTTCTCCACCTTCGTCGCCTTTTTAGCTCGCTTTCAACCCATGCGCATCGCGTGGCCAATTGTCCTGCTTGGATAAAAGGAAATGGAAAGACATGCTACACAAGCCTGGCGTTTCTAGACATTACTGTTTGTGATGATGATTGGGATCATAATGACTGAAACGCTCATTTTGTCCTCTTCATTCTTCATCCCTTAATGGTTAAATCAATTAGAAGCTTGGAATTAGTTGCTTGACTAATAAAAACTAATTCCAGATAAAGACTGGAGATTGTCTTCGTCTTTATCTTCCTTTTCGGGAACATCACTTTTGTTGTCGTCTTTCAAAGGTTTGTTGCTGTTTGGCTCTGCTTCCTTATCTTCGTTTTCCAAGCCATTACAACCCTCATTCTCCGCGCTAAATGTCTGTATAATGGAAACAAAGAAAGATAACGACTGAGAAGCTGAAGAGAAAAAAATCAACATCGCCACTACATTTCAGTACACACTCACCACCTACTGCATTTTCTTAAGATAATTTACGTCTTTGAATTCACTATATGTAGTGACTTCCCTCGCTGCCCACAACAAAGCACCGAAAAGATTTCTCTCATTATTCAAAGAAATTAAAAAATACCGTATCAAGAGTAAATAGAAATTCACTAAGCAGGTGATGAGAAAGACCAAGATGGAGCGAGTAGAGTGCTCAGAAAAAGAGAAGATTAAATCAGATCCCGAAAGGGGAAGTTAATCATACGACTAAATTCTTTAGGTTGCGCAAACAGTAAAATAGTTAATTTAATAAGGACTGGCAATTGTGAAAATAGGTAACTCACCGTTAAACCAAGACTACTTGTTTTTCTCGCAACCCTTGGTGTGCCAGTTAGTGGGTACATATCTGCGGAGACAAAGCTGTACATACGGGGCTGCGCAAAAGAATCGTTGTAATTTTGCCGATCTGATGTATTCCACTTCTTTGAACTGTTTTTCGATCTTCTGTTTTGAAGCTTTGCGGGAAAATAAACAGATTTTAGTTTCGGCTAGAAATACACTTCATCTGAATTACATACAGTCTAAAGTAGAACTGATCTTTTAAATTGTAACCCCTTCGCCGGGGAGATTAAACTTCTCCCATATTATAGTGTTGAGAATCTGTCAGAAGTAACTGAATGACTGCTGTGTGTTCTAATCAAAATAACTATGTGATCCTTAGTTAATTTTGAAGACAGCAATTTTCAACTAAGTGTCGATAGAAATTTTTGATTGCATTGGTTGGGTTTTATCCACTCTATGCTCGAGCTACCTTCTCAGGCTATAAATGAAACCAATGTGACTTGCTTCTCGCGCTTAGTCGTGCTTAAGGCTGCATGGTGACCTCTCCCCATTTTTAATGATCATTGCCTCCTTCTGAAACTGCTTCTTTTCTTTGATTGACGATTATGATCACGATCCTCGATAAAGAAGAAAGCGCTCTACTCATCGGCATTAAAAGCTGATAGAATCTAACTAAAAGCTTCTATAATTACTCCGTTTACTAGAGTAAAAACTTTTATAGGACCGATCATTACTCACGATAAAACACAGCAACAAAACAAGCAAAAGCAGATTTATAATTCCAAGTGCGATCACAACCGCAATCCACGCCTTGCATGAGACGGGCTCAGGACACGTTGGACACGTTGTAGTTTGTGTAGGACCAGCCACCTGCTTTACACTTTCGACGGATATAGTGAAGTTTTCTGAGCCCCCTTCACCTTTCTCTATTACCTTCTTCAGGCTGTTGGCATCAACATCCGTCGTAGACGTAAGGAAAACTGTAAAGTCGAAAATTATGCTTCCGCTCCGGAAGTTTTTCACCGCAAGATCAAGTAAATTTTGTTCGTATTTCTTTTCGAGAATTCCTCTTAAATGGTTTTCCAGCTCGCTCTTAAGAGTTTTGTACTGAGCAGACCTGTTATTTCCATATTCGACATCCCAAGGTTTCTCCACTTTGCCACTTCCTTCGAATTTCTTGGAGCCTTCTATTGCAGTCATGGTATAAATGAAGGAAACAAATCTCATCAGAAATGGATAAATTCATGGGTGATTTTAAAAACATTCCATGTAAATTGTCACCTAACCAAAGATAGATTGTCATGTGTGATATGATTAGGAGTCACCCTAGAGTCCCGATATTAGTATATCCTAAAACAATGGATAGCGTTAAAGGCCCACAGATCTGAAGCAAAGATGTTACACCACAGATCTGAAGCGCAGATGTTATACCACAAATCTGAATTATAGATGATACAAGACAGATCTGAAGTATAGATGTTATACCACAGATCTGAAGTATAGATGGTATACCACAGATCTGAAGTATAGATGATACACGACAGATCTGAAGTATAGATGTTATACCACAGATCTGAAGTATAGATGGTATACCGCAGATCTGAAGTATAGATGTTATCCCACAGATCTGAAGTATAGATGATACACGACAAATCTAAAGTATAGATGTTATACCACAGATCTGAAGTATAGATGATATACCACAGATCTGAAGCGTAGATGTTGACCACGGATTTGAAGAATAGATGTTACACCACAGATCTGAAGTGTAGACTGGATGTTATACCATAGATCTGAAACGTGGATGTTATACCACAGATCTGAAGTAGGGATATTATACAACAGATCAGGCGCCGATTGTTCAAAGGGTGGATAACGCTATCCACTGGATAAATCTCTATCTGATGAATTGCGCAGTACGTTTTGCCAACATTTATCTGCTGGGTAGCAATTTATGCGTGGGATAGCGTTGCCAGGTCTTTGAAAAAATAATTTGGATATATCAACAAAGTTGAAATGGTAAATTGGCCACCGTAATGATTACAAAAGCTGACGTTTCGAGCGTTAGCCCTTCGTCGGAGCGAAATAGGCCCTGAAGTGTTGATCATATACTATAGATCTGAAATATAAATGTTACACCGCAGATCTAGAGTATGAATATCGTGCTGCAAGCATGAAGCATGGATGGTATTCCACAGATCAAAAGTACTTATTCAACATCTCACCTTTTGACGGTGTAGTAGGTGGTGGCGACCTCGACGACGTAGACACCGTCATGGTAGTTGGTTTTGTTGACGATGAGCGTAATGTTATAGCTGAAGATTGTGTTAACTGGATTGATGATGCTGGTGGTATCGATGACGATGATTGCAAAGGTGATGGTGACTGCGGCTGTGATAAGGACAGTGACGATAGAGCTCGTGGAGAAGGTGATAGAGACGTTTCAAGTGTTGCTGATGGTGACAGTGACGGAGAATGTGATAGCGCTGGTGATACTGACAATGATGATGACGAGAGTGATGGTGGTGATGGTGTCGATGCTGATGGCGATGTCGACACTGGCGCTGATGGTGCCGGCGATGCCTGGGCTGATTCTGACGCAGATATCGGTGGTGACACTAGAGCTAATAATGATGCTAAGACCGCCGATGATTGCTGCATTAGTGACGTTAGCGGTTGTGGTGATTCCGACTTCGAATTTGGTGATAGAGATGTCGGTGATGGAGATGTTGATTCCAACACTAGCGATGATGCTGTCGTTGACCCTGATGGTTGAAGCGATCCTGAGGCTGCTGGTGATGTCAGTAGTAATGCTGTTGATGTAGGTGCCGCTGGTGGTGATGTTGGGGCTGACTGTGATGCTTCGACTGGCAATGATGAAGGCGGTGTTGGTGCCACTGGCGCTGAAGTTGGCGCTGACCTTGGCAGTTGAAATGATCCTGAGGCTGCTGGTGATGTCGGTAGTAGCGCTGTTGCCGCTGGTGGTGATGTTGGAGCCAACTGTGATGCTTTGCCTGACGATGTTGAAGGCGGTGTTGATGCCACTGGCGCTGAGGTTGGCGCAGATCTTAGCGGTTGAGGAGATCCTGAGGCTGCTGGTGATGTTGGGGGTAATGCTGTTGCCGCTGGTGGTGATGTTGGGGCTGATTGTGATGCTTCGGCTGACGACGATGAAAGGGATGTTGTTGCGTTGGCGGTGAAGTTGTTTCTGGCGCTGGTGTTTGAGGTGATCCTAAGGCTGCTGGTGATCTTGGTGGTGATACTGTTAATGTCGGTGCCGCTGGCGGCGATATTAGTGCTGATTGAGATGCTTAGCGGCAATGTTGAAGCTGTCACAGATAATGGAGATGATGACAATGATGTTAATAGTGAGGAATAACGATATGATAATGCTATCTAAACCTCTGTTGAGTCCTTACCCATACATAACTTTTAACTCATTCAATAGATAGTTACAAGTAAACCAGTGAGACAGAGTGAGAAATGTTTTTTAGGCACGATGTGAAAGGGCGCTAAAAGCTAAGCAATACAAGTACAAGCAGCGCAAGCTATCATGTACATTATGTGTATTTAACCATTTCAATATCGTAGAAATTGATTCCATCATCTGGTACCATTGTGGATGAAAGGATGCTTAATTCTGTACATCCGTGCTTAATCTAGTATCCAAAACATTATCCAAACATTATGAAGCCTAATTGTGAACTTACTTCTCCAGTCCCCCTGTCCCCCTTCCTCCGGTCAATTTTTCATTTATTTTAGATTCGCTGGAGAAAATACGCAATTTTGGTCGCCGGAGGGGAAGGGAGAATCAGTTTTGGTCCAAGACTGGAGACGTTATTTCCATACCTTAGAAATATCAATTACGCATAAATGGTCCAAGGAAACAACCTTGTCTACCANATCTTTTACAGCTGTATTTTCATTAGTGACGTTAGCGGTTGTGGTGATTCCGACTTCGAATTTGGTGATAGAGATGTCGGTGATGGAGATGTTGATTCCAACACTAGCGATGATGCTGTCGTTGACCCTGATGGTTGAAGCGATCCTGAGGCTGCTGGTGATGTCAGTAGTAATGCTGTTGATGTAGGTGCCGCTGGTGGTGATGTTGGGGCTGACTGTGATGCTTCGACTGGCAATGATGAAGGCGGTGTTGGTGCCACTGGCGCTGAAGTTGGCGCTGACCTTGGCAGTTGAAATGATCCTGAGGCTGCTGGTGATGTCGGTAGTAGCGCTGTTGCCGCTAGTGGTGATGTTGGAGCCAACTGTGATGCTTTGCCTGACGATGATGAAAGCGGTGTTGGTGCCACTGGCGCTGAGGTTGGCGCGGATCTTAGCGGTTGAGGAGATCCTGAGGCTGCTGGTGATGTTGGGGGTAATGCTGTTGCCGCTGGTGGTGATGTTGGGGCTGATTGTGATGCTTCGGCTGGCAATGATGAAAGCGGTGTTGGTGCCACTGGCGCTGAAGTTAGCGCCGACCTTGGCAGTTGAAATGATCCTGAGGCTGCTGGTGATGTCGGTAGTAGCGCTGTTGCCGCTAGTGGTGATGTTGGAGCCAACTGTGATGCTTTGCCTGACGATGATGAAAGCGGTGTTGGTGCCACTGGCGCTGAGGTTGGCGCGGATCTTAGCGGTTGAGGAGATCCTGAGGCTGCTGGTGATGTTGGGGGTAATGCTGTTGCCGCTGGTGGTGATGTTGGGGCTGATTGTGATGCTTCGGCTGACGACGATGAAAGGGATGTTGTTGCGTTGGCGGTGAAGTTGTTTCTGGCGCTGGTGTTTGAGGTGATCCTAAGGCTGCTGGTGATCTTGGTGGTGATACTGTTAATGTCGGTGCCGCTGGCGGCGATATTAGTGCTGATTGAGATGCTTAGCGGCAATGTTGAAGCTGTCACAGATAATGGAGATGATGACAATGATGTTAATAGTGAGGAATAACGATATGATAATGCTATCTAAACCTCTGTTGAGTCCTTACCCATACATAACTTTTAACTCATTCAATAGATAGTTACAAGTAAACCAGTGAGACAGAGTGAGAAATGTTTTTTAGGCACGATGTGAAAGGGCGCTAAAAGCTAAGCAATACAAGTACAAGCAGCGCAAGCTATCATGTACATTATGTGTATTTAACCATTTCAATATCGTAGAAATTGATTCCATCATCTGGTACCATTGTGGATGAAAGGATGCTTAATTCTGTACATCCGTGCTTAATCTAGTATCCAAAACATTATCCAAACATTATGAAGCCTAATTGTGAACTTACTTCTCCAGTCCCCCTGTCCCCCTTCCTCCGGTCAATTTTTCATTTATTTTAGATTCGCTGGAGAAAATACGCAATTTTGGTCGCCGGAGGGGAAGGGAGAATCAGTTTTGGTCCAAGACTGGAGACGTTATTTCCATACCTTAGAAATATCAATTACGCATAAATGGTCCAAGGAAACAACCTTGTCTACCAAATAAAGGGTGTATAATTTTGTGCAGTTAGGCAGGGTTGCACTGTGGCCTTAATTTTTTATGTCGCGTCATAAGTTGTCCCACAAATATGTCGCGACATTACACTACGGGAGTCTTGGGGGTCGAATGTGCGCGACATAAAAGATATTTCAAGCTACCAGGCTATATAGGTTACTGTGACAGAGCCTTTGCTCTCTCCACAAAAAGTCAATTTTCTTGCTTGAGCAACATACTAATTCCGCTCTGGTCCTTCTGACGGAAAATTCCCTGGGGTTTTTCCAATTCTTCTCCGCCAGCAACCGGAGGCCATTGGCTACAGGCCGAACGGAGGTGGCTCGATTTCCCTGGTTTACATCGTCGCAATACAAAATAGGCACTCGCTGTAGACGCTAAAAAACTTTAAATCCGTCAGGGATACAAATAGGTTTTGAACGCGTACCAATCTTCTTTTATTTCACGGTGATTTACTCGAAGGATTACACGGTTCCTAAAAGGTAAAAGGAATTTGAAACAAACGATGCAATGGAGAAAGGAAACGCTGAATTAAAAACGAACCAAACAATAGGAATAGTACTTACAAAACACGTTTTACCTCGATGAAACGTAGAACACACTAAGAAACTTGAACTAACTCGACTTACTGAAGGTCGGCACTAAAAATGGCGACCATGACACATGTGGCTTAGTTGCGGCGGGCTGAGCCCTAAAGTGGCGCGTGTGCCAGGCGCAACGACAAACTTGAGCTTACACTCGCGGTTAGCTTACACATATGGCTTACACAAACCTTAACGTGTCTTAAACTGTTTCAGTTTTAACATTTTTTCGACTTCCTTTATGGATGTCCTTTTTTACACAGGTTCCTAGGACAGCGAGAAAAAATTATTTGCGACTTATGACCTTTTTTTGATACATACGATGACAAAAAAAATTAGGGAGAAAAAAATTATTTGCGACTTATGACCTTTTTTTGAAACATAATTTGACAAAAAGAAAATAGGGAGAAATAATTATTTGCGACTTATGACCTTTTTTTGAAACATACGGGGACAAAAAGAAAATAGGGAGGAAATAATTATTTGCGACTTATGACCTTTTTTTGAAACATACGGGGACAAAAAGAAAATAGGGAGAAAAAATTATTTGCGACTTATGACCCTTTTTTGAAACATACGGTGACAAAAAGAAAATAGGGAGAAAAAATTATTTGCGACTTATGACCTTTTTTTGAAACATACGGTGACAAAAAGAAAATAGGGAGAAAAGATTATTTGCTACTTATGACCTTTTTTTGAAACATACGGAGACAAAAAAAATTAGGGAGCATTCCAGTCACATTCCCTCACTTTGACTCAGTGATAGAAAAAAAAGTCTTTAAAAAATTTAACTTGTTCAAGTGAGCACTTCCGGTCCACAGCGAACGTTGACTTGTCTGGAGTTTTAATTGAAAACATTTCATCAAAGAATCAACTTTCTGGGCAGAATTTTTCGGGCCGGACTTTCGAAATATGCTGATGAACCACAACTCCGTGAGATGACTTCGCAGATATATCTTTTACAGCTGTATTTTCGTGTGTTTTTGTCAACTTTTATGTTCTTTTGTTCTTGACGAAAGACTGTGAATGAATTAAATGCTTCGTTGAAAATTACTTGCTTTCGTGTAAATTCACACAAATGGCTCTGAATTATTTTGTCAGCGATCATTAACTTATTTGGACACACTTAACATATAAATGGCTTGTGTTATCAGCCCTTTAGCTCTTAAGCCTTACGTCGCCGAACTGTCAATATGCGGAAATAAAATTTCTGGAAAAAATTATTTTAGGGTTACTTCGCAAAAGACTCAACGAAAACTTTTACTAAAGAAACGATAAGCCGCCTGTAAAGTGCTGGAATGATTTCAATGCAGCTAAAAACAGGTTAGACTCACACAGAATGGTTTGACAGCAGGAAATAAAGTCTTACATTTCTTCCGCATCAGCTTAGACTGGCACAACGATGATCTCAAGCCCGGAAAACAGATTAATCATAATTAAGTGAAGCAGAGCGCGTGATCATAAATAAAACCTTAACAGTTGTTTTGACACTCTGTGTTTTATACATGACTGCATTTAAAGTTCAGCAACATAAACAGGTTCATGCCTTACCGGTTTGTTTAATTGTCTGCGCCCTAACGTCTTAGACGAAGGAAATGTAGGAAATTATAAAAGTAAATCTTATTACGCAAATATTCATATATAATCAAGAACACCCGGGAAGAGTTTCATGCGTTTTGACCTTTAAATGTTTTCTTTGTAAGACTTGAAAGTCTTCCGCTACCAGGCTTTATAAAATACTGCTGACAAGGGCTCCTTGTCATCGTATGTGTGTCAGAATTTTACTGAAGCCCTAATGGAACATCTGACCAGTTTGAATGTGAGAGAGATAAAAGACATGTTGCTTGTCAAGTGTATTCTGAACTGAAGGAAATCAGCTTGACATTTCAGAAAGGAAACTGCGGGAGAGAAAGCAAACATGAAAAGGTTTTCTATTTCTGCGTTCTTGATTAAAGCAGGCAAGGAATTTGTTTACCTTGTGAGCTTGTCGCGATCACACAAGCCGTAAACGACATGATCCACATAATAGCAACCAACAGAATGGTCCTCCTCTTGATCGGATCCATTGTGGCTTTTTATGGGCGACACAGCTTGAACGATGAACAGTCACGTAGGCTGATGTTTCCCTGTTTAACGCTAACTTAGACTTCTGCGGTACGAGGAAACTAAGAAGCAATCAAATTCCCCAGAGCGCTACCCAGTGACCATACGGAGTAATCGTAACCTTTTGTAACCAAGGTTTAAAATAGCTTTTGTGCGTTGCTGAGCACGCTTGATTCTATAATCCCTTTAGTCAGTTCAGAAGAAACGTAAGACGGAAATCAATTCTAGAAACGGAAACATGTCATGTAAATTATCGCTTGTCTGGTATAAGTGCCCGGATTAAGGCATACGAAACAACAGCGCCTTTGTGTTTTAAAGGCTTGTATGACGGACCAGTCTTTTTATGCTTGACTGCGTCGGTAATCCTTGATCATCATTATGGATATTTTGCATGGAAATGATAATGATTGTGCAGGTTAAAAGACTCTTTTTTAAGCAACTCTTCCTAAAGAACGACAAGTTGATTATCCAAATTAGCTCATGGGTTTCAAGTTGTGTTTCGAAGCGCGGATTGATACCTGAAGGTTCTGTCATTAAGCACTTTTTTATTCTTTTGAATATTGCCATTCAAAGTATGACAGCCGCTTTCATAACTGTAAAATTTTTTCACTTTTGTCCAGGTGAAATAAAATTTGTCTTGTCACATATGTCGTAAATCCATGCCTTATGGAATGCCATCGCCTCTTTAATTTTAAAAATTTCTATTATAAATAGGGTGGCACGTTAAAAAATATATTCCTTGCCCAAGATGCGAAAATACAAATCCTGTCACGCAATAAGCAAAATTTACTCATGTGCATCTTTAATTCAGGTTGTTAAAAATTTCCAAGCTATATTGAACAAGAAAGAAAGAAAAGGTGAACTTTGTTCTCAAGGAACAAAATAATCCCGTTCTGTCCCTTGTGACCAAAAATTCCCTTAGCTGTTTCCAGATTTCCTCCTTCTACTGAAATTGACTGCAGGCCAAACGGAAACAAGCTTGACTTCCTAGATCCCAGCTTTTTTGTGGAGTCAAGAATGAAAGGGATTGGGAACATCACCAAATTCTCTGAAAGAACGCGCCGCAGACTTCTTAGAAATTGGTGAGGATATTGCTATGTATTGTTGTTCATAACTACGTCTAACATTTACTCTTTCCCTCCCTGGATGGAAGATGCCTTTTACCGACAAAGGAAAGTCCTGTGCACGGGCTGTTCACAGCTGTGCAAAATGCAATCGACGATTCACGAAAAAGGAATCTAAGGAAGGTTTCATACAGCATTTAAAGAGTTTGAAACATCAGACCTCCAAAGCTAGTGTACCAGAAAGCTGTGGTCATTGCGTTCGTTCCTTCTCGAGCACCACAGCGTTAATCCAACACTTGCAAAATAATCGCCACCATTTGAAAGATTTACACCACGCCGCTTGCACGGGAAAGTTTCAACTCGTTGAGCAGTTAATGAGAACTGAGGCCGCAAACTGTCCAGGAGATTCTCATCTTCCTTCGAAACATCAGACAGGCTACACGCCGATGCATTGTGCAGCCTTCGGCGGCCATGATGAGTGCTTAAAGATAATGCTTAACTGGCCCGATGGAGACCCGAACGTCGTTGATCCCACCGATGGCCGAACTCCTGTTCATCTCGCAGCATGGAAAGGAAACGGCGTTTGTCTCAGGCTATTGCTCAGGAAGGGTGGTAATCTGCGTCAACTTGATTCAAATGAAAACACACCAATTTCTTTAGCCAGAGATCCATATTGTTTGGCTATAATTGTCTACCATTTATATGGTAAGTTCGATGTTTAATGTTAGTCTAATCTTGACATAATCTTTCCAATCGCTTGTTTATTATTTGGTATTACAGAGCCATCGTGCGGGTCGCATCAGACCGCGGCTCGGGTCATACATGCACGAAGAATAGTAAGGTTACAACAATACTGGCTTCATGAGGTCCATGAGGCAAGCCACCTACAAGAATTCCCATCCTCACGGGTTTTCCGTCGGTAAATTTTCCCCTTTCATCTACGTATGTTTATGATCTTTGGGAAAGGGTAACACATGGAGTTAATTATTTGAACAGAGATCCCACTGATCGCTGTTCCTAGATGTAGACTTGAACTTGAACACAAACAAGTTTGTTGTAATTGTTCATTAAGAATCCCATACCAAATTACTAACTTCTTGGACTCGAATACCCTCTAGGGACTCATTTTTTCTCGTGACGATGATTTGAGTCACAACTAATTCAAATGAATGGCAAAGCACAATAAATTCATGCAAATTTAGATAGATAAGTGTTTTATATCCTCCCTATTATCATTGTTTTAAAAAATAAATTGTGCTTTGAAACATTTGTTTTAAATTATTTACGATTACCTTCTTTTTCCATTTCTTTCACCATTAAGTAAAGGGCACTTCGTAATTTTTACCATTCCGTTTTATATTACACGTGAGCTTCATGTTGTTTTCAATAAAAATAATTTTGAAATTTCCTTCACCATTAAGGAAGGGCACTTCGTTATTTTTACTATTCCGTTTTATATTACACTTGGGCTTCATGTTGTTTTCAATAAAAAATAATTTTGAAATGATTAGTGTTTGCTCTTCACAGAGACAGAATTCAAGCTGAATGTGGAAGGGTCCATAGAACTTATATGGAGGAGTCTTTGCAGGGAAAACCGTTCAATGGTTTCTGCGCCAATCAGAGAACTCCAAGACCCACGCAATGCTGGCAGGATCAGTCAATCCAGCCATGAAGGTGAAATTTATTACAACAACAATGAAAACCAGGCCTTACTTAATCAGGATGACTATAGCTCTGAGAGAAGAAATAAAATTTCGTGCTTTATCTCCCTCTGTAACGACATTTGGGGTACAGCACATCCATTACCCACCATTTGAAACTCTTTAGGGAAATCATTTTGGTTCATGGACCGGTCCTTCCACTGAAGCTGGACCATATAAGACCCAACTGGTGGAATTTTAAGTAGAGTCACGTATCCAGAATTTAACGTTGTGTACATTGCTTGTGCATGTCACAACAGTTGGTTATCAAAATAAGGTACCTTTCTTGAACTCGTTCCAAATAGATGGTTAGTGATTAATGCAATACTCAGAAATAATCTTGCCAACATTTCCTCGTTTTCTCCTTTAAGGGTAACATATTGAGTGGTATGAGTTTGCCTCAAGTCAAAAATTTTGTTATCCTCAGAATTAAAGATTTACGCATTCTCATCCAATGCAGGATTTTCCAGGAAGCCATATAAAGTCCTTGCAAGGGGTGAATTGGCAGTTGAAATATTCAATCAGGCACTACGTGAGGGAAAAGCATGCATATCTCGCATGCAACTCACCGTTATAGGGGATGTCGGGGTCGGAAAGACAAGCCTGGTGCGTTCTCTCAGTGGGGAAGATTTTGAAGAAGAAAGAAAAGAAACGCATGGAATTGACACTTCCATGGTTGAGAGGACCGAGTTGGACGAGTCGTGGCATGCTGCAGACCCAAACAAGTCCCAAGTCGATGAAATTTTAGCAGACAAAGTTTGTCAAGGAATTCAGCGTTCTCCTAGGGTGGGCCATCCTTTTAATACTCAAGGAAACCAGCTTAGTCGTTCTGACCCAACACCATCCTTCCCGCCAAGAGGGCAACATTCTCCTTGCGTAAGGCGACTTTGTAGCATAGAAGCTCCATCCACATTGTGAGGTACTGGTGCAAGCGATGGGGACCAGACAAGCTTAGCAAAAGAGTCACCTGCCTCACAGCATAGTCTAACGCGCGGAGGGAAGTCTTCACGAGAGATTCCAATCGATGAGATCATGCGAAGGCTTAGTCTGAGTTCGGAAGCATCTCTGGGTGAGAGCGAAAAGAAGTACGCTAAGATCAGCATTTGGGACTTTGCTGGCCATTCTTTGTACGAAGCTATGCATCATGTTTTTCTAAACAGGCGTTCCTTTTACCTTACCGTACTAAATTTGGCTCGGCTGTGTGACCTTGACAGTGCCAGCCAAGTTCTAGAAGAGGCTCATTTTTGGCTAAATTCTATAAGCGTGCATGCTCCCCACACGACACCTGTGTTCCTTGTGGGAACACACAGCGGCGAGGTGAGCGAGAAAGACATGGCAACGGCAGAGAAGACAATTTATGATAAATTTGTCGAGAAGTTTGGTCAACAACTTGTGAAAAGCAAGGAAAACAGTTTTCTCTTTCCAGTAGAAAACACCTTTGGTGGCAAAGATCCTGGAGCAGTGGCTTTAAAGAAGGCCATCGAAAATGAGGCAGCACGACTGAGGAAAATGGACGAGGAGCTTCCACTTTTGTGGCTTCATTTTGAAGAGGAAATTCTGAAGTGCAGAGAGGAGCAAGAATTTCCCCCATGTGTCCGTAAGCCTGCTCTAAAACAGATGTTGGAGCAGATTACATCCCGTAGTATCGATGATAGAGAGTTTGGAAGCATGCTACAGTTCTATCATGATAGTGGTGTAATCATCCTCCCAGGTCAGTAAAAAGTCTACTGCATTTTCTTATTCAGCATGTTTATTATTTTTATGATTGTTATTTTTTTTCTGCATTTCCTTATTTAGCATGTTCATGTCATGTAAAACAAATAAATTGATATATTTATCGAGTTCTTAAGAAGACTCAAGAAAGTAATGGAACCACATCCTCTGGATTTCAGAAGCGTACATTTAGGTTGCTATGTTAAGGACAGCCAATGTCACGGCTAAGTGGTTGCTTAAGAGAAGAAGGTTAAGGTATTCTAACCCTTAGTCGTATGTTTATATCCCCTCAGCTTGACCAGAATAATAATTTAGAATTTCTTTTCAGAGGAGCTAATTGGACC